AAACTCGAAGTGAGACCGTTTTGTTCTTTGTATCAGTATTGTGTTTCAAATAAATGTTTAAGGCGACCCATATAATCTTATTAAGCTGCATAAAAATTTGACCTTTACAAGAGCATATGTGCTGTTTATATGATATACGTAATTGTGTTTTGAGTAGGGAGCCAATTTTACACTAAGAGTTCTGTCAGCTCAACTGTTTTGTCTGTTTTAACGGTGACGGTTTTTCAAATGTATCTTTTACTGACATTAGTCTGGTTACATCTACCAATTTCATCAACCACTCCTGATAGTCCAGAGGTAAATTCGTTGCTTGCAAGCAGCTTTTTTTCATCAATTTAAATATTCACGATAATAGCGTTAGAATACACATCAATTTTGATGCATTGCACCAACTATTTAAAACTTGTCAGTATCAAAATTGTTGTTATTGGTTCCTTTTAATTCAATAAATGCAAATCTCAAAATTAATTTTTTGCAAAAAGTAGCTTTTCTCCTAAACAGTGTTGTTAAAGAACTCCTGCAATACAGCTATTATGCTACATAGATCAAAATTTTTTTTAGTAATTACTAGGGAAGAAGTTTTTTCAGTATTGTATTTTAAAATCAAAAATATTGTTTTTTGTAAATTGTAGTTAACATTTGAAAAATTATTTCAATATGGTAAAAGAGCATATACGGATCGACAATGGAATGATTGCATCGGTTTTATGCTTCGTGCAATTGAGGATTTCAATTATTTTGTTGGCGAAATAGAATGGTGTCGTACAAAATGTGCTAAAATTTTAGACACAAAAAAATTCAAAGGTAATTTCAAAGTTTTTGAACTTTAGTAGTAACTTTTCACTTACACGATTATTGAACAGATTAATTTTTTAAATACATAGACAAATAGAAAGAACCTTCTAAAGCAAAATTTTGTTTTTATTTGCGCTTTGTTTTTGCTGAATAGAACTGTAAAATGTTGAAGAAATTTTGAACATTCTATAGAGATGTCACTGGACGATGAAGAGCTGTTTGGCATTGAATATATGTACGGTAATGCTCAACGAGCTTTATGCTTATTCCGCTGTAAAAGCGATCGTTTTACCGCTGAACGACCACCGCTGACAAATCCGTCAGTGATGGACGAATTTCAGAATCGAAAACCATATCAGTATTTGCAGTTCTGTTATTGGAAAGTAATCTATATGAATAACTTTTACTTGAAAGCGAAATTAGGATGGAATTTTTTTAAATGAAAATTAATTTAAAAAAGGAACTATTTGTAGGTAAGTAAGAATAAGTTGCAAAAGGACGACAAAAGCTTCAACTTTTAACTAAAAAATAAAATGGTAAAATTCTTCAGTATGAAGTGTTGTTGAAATTTACATAATTCAGGTCAACGACTTAGTGTTGGCTACACAAAGTGCTTATACATACTTGATTGCAAATCCAACTGATTCAGACGCCTTGGAAAATGTTGCATTTTATATGGAACAAAAAAATTTCAAAGATTCTATGTTGGTGGATGCAATGCGAAAGCCATATGAAGTAAAACTTTGCATAACAATATTTAGTTTTACTCATCAATCGTAAATTTCTAGAAGAAGTATTGAATTGTTTGATCATCAAACTGTCTGCCCGTTTTCCGTTTTTCAGGAGAAATACATGAGAGGCGTGGCTGCTTACAACGAAATGGACTTCCAAAATTGTATCAAAGACTTAGAATCAGCTATTAACGAGTTCTACGAAGAAGAACAACGATGTCGTCGAATGTGCGAAGATAAACTGGATTGGGATGTATTTGAAGGGGCTAATCCTGAGCTAACCATTGTTCTGACAAGTAATTCACACTAATATCATAGTTTTGTTTTTTAAACTTTTTATGTTCTTTTTCTTTTTACGACTTTAAAAATGCGGCAAGAATTAGACGGTATATTCAGGTATCTATACGTCTGTTTTACGATGTAAGAATAGTTGCGCTAAAAAGCTGTCGTTTGTTAATGGACATGACGAAGGGAATTTTTTGTCTAAAAGCTATGAATATCTGCATGTGTGCCAGTATAACTGTAAGTTCGTTTTCAATTGCACAGTTAAAAATTAGTGACATTAAAACAATGAACTATTCAGTGACTAAAATTTTGTTTTGCTTTATTAAATCTGTTGATTTTCAGTGAAAAGGGGTCGGGATGCGTGTCAGTCAGTGGCCAGCAGTATTCTTTTGGATCCGGACAATCCTATGATGCGCCAGAATAAGCACTTTTATATGAAACTTTATGGCGATGAAAAACTGTTTGAACCGTTACCAGTTAATCACACTTCATTTATCGGAGAAATAATATTTTATTTTAGACTATAAAAAGAAAAAGTGAATTTTAACGGCTATTAAATTTCAGCATGTAGTTAAATTCTATAAACGAGATTTGATGGAAAACCATTTTTTGGATTTTGTCGATCAACGATTTAAATATGAAAATGGAGAGGTGAAATATTGTATGAAATACTTTTTTTCTTTGCTTCTGGGAATTATTAGCCGGAGTATAAAGAGAAACTTTTGCTTGTGCTTTATGATAAACTTGGTAAGGAGGTGAATATATGTGGTAGGTTACAGCTGTTTCAACAAAATCAAATATTGCAGTTACCACCAGAACGGAAGGAGGATCGAACTGCAATGATTACAGATGTTCCAACTGATGATCATTTTGACTACAGACAACTGGATCAAGAACTATTAAACGAGGCTGAATGTGGTGCCTTGAGTGTGGCAACGATTTTTGCCAGTCAAAAGATGACACAGTTTCATTTAGTTAAAGAACTTCAAACACGACTAGAGCAAAGGTACGGAGTACAGTCAACATTTGTGAAATTATCCTGTTCAAAGATTGACGAAAATTCAAATTGTAAACATCGTTTAATAATTATTTCTTTAGACAGATTACGATGTGGTAGATTTTTGAGTACAGTTGATATTGGAGAATGTTTTGCAATGTTTTGTGTTTGAATATACTCAGTTATTTGAGAAGAAAAAACATTGATAAGCAGAAATTTTGTTACTGTACTGTATTTGTTTAAAAACAAATTAACAACAATTAAAACCAGCTTATATTATAGAATAATTCCTTTAATAAGTTTTAAAAATGCTTAAAATTTTTGTGCTTAGAAAAAAGCTTTCTTTCCTTGATTTATTTCTGCGTTTTTATGTATCTGTGTACATTTATCAATAATATTTGTATAGTTTATGCGACAAAAATTGAAATTTTTTTGGCTGGACTTGGTAGTTTGGGAGGAAAAAAATGATGGAATTCAGTGTGTAAAATTTTTTTTTGATATGCGGTAATTGAGCCATCGTCGACCCTGCAATGAGTACTTTGACTTGAAAGAGTATTAGTTCTCGTATTTTATTTACAAACAAATCAAATATTAATAAGCTTCTTTTTTTACACTACTGTATCATCTCATATCAGAATCTATTTTTCGTTCTGCATTTTAACAGTAGACGTATTGTTATTTCCATTGACTCCGTTCTTCCTTAACAAATCTTCGACCTCATCTTTGGTCTTCTTTTCCTTCACGATTGCCCACGGTTGTAGGTCAGCTAAAATTGATTAAGTTCTACTTTTTTCTTGTTTAGAGTTTTTTTAAATTGACAAACGAAGAGGTAAATTAACAGTAGCAGAGGTTTTGTAGTCGATAGAATGGTTGCTGTTAAAAAGATACGTTTATTTGAGACCCATAATTAGGTGAAACCAAATTAGCGGATTTTTTCAGTTCTAAGTCAACTTCTATGAATTGAAACAAAAAATAAAGAGATAATCCTGCTGAAACTACATTTAACGGCTCTTATATAAAAAATAGTTTCTTGGACAGTTTAGTAAAAGAACTCTTGAAAAACAGTAACCTGAGCCAAATATGCCATAAATGGTACCACAAATTAGCGAAATAGTTGCGGTTATCAAAAAGATTATTCGCCATTCCTTTACAGTACCCTAAAAACTTTTGCTGTTCTTAATTCATAAAATAATTTTAGAGAAAGAAATTGGCATTTATACACAAATGTTTGAATGTAAAAAAAGAAATTTTTTTTATTTTTATGAGTTTTTATTGACGTCATTGACTTTTAAGACTTAACTGAGTAAGCAATATATCTAAAATGAATCACTGATAGAGGTTTGTCAAAAGTTTTTGCAGATATTACATATCACTCAGTGTATTTGGTTTTTCTTTTAATTTAACACTTAGGTAACGCTATAAGTTCTTACATTTTGGTTGATATAACCAACAACATCTGGAGCTGCCAGTTGTCCAATAATACCAAAAATAAATGATATAGACGACAAAGTACCAACATACGGCGGTGCAATAGTCAGTAAACTGGTAAAAAATCCAGGTGTTGTTGTACCAAATGCCATACCAAAAAGGCACATCAAAATTACACCAAGTGTTGGCTTTGTACAGTCCACAAGGAATGCCAAGCACAAAAAAATTGCCGTCATTGATAAATTAGCTGAAGATTTGAGAAGAAGAAGATGGATTTTGTTGAATGAAAACAAATTTGGTCAACTTCAGAAACTGCTTATAAAATGAAGTTTCAAAGACCTATTTTTGAATCAGGAGTGGAAAAGAAAATTATTAATTTAGTAACGACAGTAAATCACTTACAAAAGCATTGCATTATTTTGCATCCAACTGTTGGGCTAACAAAACCTTTTTCCTTCAATCTATCCATTATTATTCCA